AAAACTCGTGGACATTTAACCTGCATATATTGAGTAATTACCGAATTTTCGAAAAAGATTAATCCTGGAGATTTTATTCTCATACGAAAAAAAATTTAGACCTTGTAGTATTGATATTTTTTATCCAATGAATAGCTATACTGATCTTACTTATTTACTAATTGCCCGTGCGAATGATATACAAATAATAATGGCCAGTGAACAAAATAATAAGGAACTAAATAATTCAGCGTATTATAAGATGAACGAATAATTTCCTTTTTTTTTTTTTTCAATTGTAACCGACCAAGAAAAAAAATTATTATAAAAGTTCCTTCATGTTTTAAACTAAAATCTTTACGAATTACAATAACTTCTATCTTAGCTAATAATGTTCTGAAGACGATGATTTTTTTTTTTTTTTTTTGTAATGAATTTAGTAATTTTTCAAATACTTTTTTAGTTATTCACAATTTAAGTTTCTATTCCTTCATAATATTTTTCCTGAAATTTCGGGAATGTGACTATTACTCCCATCTAAAGGCGATCTTCAAAATGAGAGTTCAGTCATTAAATTTGATGAAGAATTGGCGAAGATAGTACGTTCCTTTGAGAAATTATATATAAAGATTTTTAATTTGTTCATATTTACTATAGAGAATAATATATTAATTAATCACAACAGTCTCATGTAAATTGGCATAATAATACATTATGTTATAACTTCACTTAAAATTCTAACAGTAACTGTATGTGTACGTAACAGAATGTGTGTGAGTGAAGTGCTCTCGTTTAATCTCCACTGGCTTTAGCACCAGTGACGCAATTGAGAGAGTAGCGCATGGATCTCTTCGAGTCCTGCTTTTCCCTCTATAGTTGGAGGGACAAGCCGGGCTTAGGGTTCCCTAAACCTTATCTTTAGGTTTATTTATTTTTTATTGTACATAGTTTTTGATAATTATTTATTTATTATATTACTTTTGTTAATTTTATGTTTTCTGTACATATGGGGCGAATGTGTTCATACCTCACTATAATTATTGTCCATGTAACAGATTATTATATTTCGAAATGAATAAATAAGAAGCAGTATCTACGCTGAGGAAAAATATTTCTTTCCTGCTAGCGTTATCAGATTGCTATATCTTTATCATTCGAGAGGAATAGTGATTATTATGAAATGAGATAGTCTGAGATAACAGTTTCTATAATTATTTATTCATATCAATTAAGTTGTTTAACAAATTGTCAATTACCAACTAGTCTATATAAAGTACTTGATCGGCATATTATAATTATAAGGAGATCTGATACAGCCTTGTCTATTATTTTAATTTGTAAATGTTATGATATACATTAAATTGATAAGTAAATTTGGTATCATGTACTAGCAGCGTATTAAAGATTTAATTTTAAGGGTGCTAACTTTATTGTAGTGAAAATTTCGTTAGGCGCACTTAGCACTTTTTTTTTTGTGGAGGAGACTCAATTAGATTGAGTCGATGTGTAACGCTCTGGTAAAGTCGGCTGGAGTCGACTAATAGAAGTGCTTTTAGTAGATGAGGATTAAAAAAACTCAGGAATTAAAAATAAGATCTGCATACTGTAAGCGAAGGAAATATTCAGTATTTCATCCTCTTTTTAATGAGGTATCGTTTATAATTTTTATTTCAAATTATTAATCACGCTTTGTTGATGTTTTAACTTCTTTCCTGTGGTCTAAAGCACATACTTTAGATTTTTAATTTTTTATAGAATTACCGGTTCAATAATGTTCTTAAAGATGAAATGTTAAAAAAGAAAAATAAAAATAAATAATATATATAAATATAAATATATATATATATATATATATATATATATATATATATATATATATATATATATATATATATATATATAAAATATTGTATATTATGCTCATACATATTGTTAATCCTATATAATTGTATATTAATTTTAAAAATTGTTTGTAGTGATTAATAAGTATGCTGTGTTATTCGCAAACCTCTTTATTTCTCGCGTGCTTACATTTATTAGCTGTATAAGTATATGCGTTATAATTTAAAAATAGGACATCTTGTGGTTCATTATGTATTTTTCTTAGATCACTGAAAGAACCTAATTTGGTAAAATGAATAACATATTTTTTTTTTTCTATTTTGGGGGAACTTCAGCCTGAAAGCATTTTACTGATTTTTATCACACGTGCTCACTTAAAAAAATATTAGAGGTTTATATATATCAAATCACTCATTTAAAGAAATATTAACTAAAATTTGAAAACAATTATTTTTATTTATTTTTCGTGGGCTCACGGCTTCGTCCTGAAAACATCTCCCCTTTTAAAGCCGCTAGGGATATGGAATTTATTTTTTATAACTGAAGAGAAAATATTTCTGCTTTTATTGTACGAAGATTACCGTATTTATTAACGTTGTAACATATACAGTTAATTTGTAAGATATGCAGGTTACGTATGTAGGCTCAACTGATTTCAATGAAACCTTTTTTTAATTATACTAGGTCGAAAAATATTAGACCTATGCTCGAGGATTCTTACGAGTGCTACCTAGGAGCCGAGAAAAAAAATATATAATTTTTTTATGTTACTGTTTACTGACTTAGTTCTTCATGGAGTTATTATTTATCAATAGATTTGTTTTGTGTGTAAAATAAGAAATAATATTACTAATTGTATTAAACCAGTTATAAGGTATGACATATTACAAAAGCCTATAGACGTTTCAAATAAATTAGCCCTAATGAAAAACCATTCATTTTTATCGTCCGGTAGAACTCTTAAATAAGAGTTATTTTTTTAAATAAAAAAAATAAAAATATGAAATATAATCAATATTTTTTTCTTATTCGTAACACAAAAAATGAAATCGATTGATATATAATAAAAGTTTTGAGAGAAAAACCCTCCGCACGATAACCAGAGATATCTGGAATCAGAATATTAACGCATGGAGAAGAAAGACCAATAAAGAGCTCATTACAAAAACTGGTCAATGAATATCTCATGATATGAAGGCACAGAGGTCAAGATATGCAGCAATATCTCCCAGATTACCCGAAAATCCATAACTGCCCTTAAACAACTCCTAAGATTCCGTGATTGTATTCCTCTAAAAACCAGACAGCTCCTTGTAACCTCCCTTGTATTCCCCCACTTCGACTACGGCTGCTTGGTGTATGGAGGGCTATCTGCCAGACTGGAAATGAGACTAAAAAGACTCACGAATTGTTTCATAAGATTCATTTTTGGGATCCCCAGACGTTCACATGTTTCACTAGGATACACCGAGTTGAAGTCGCTTTATCCTACTTCCCGACGACAATTCCTTCTTGGCGTTTTTCTTTTCCAAATCTTCAGAACTAAAAACCCTCCCTACATCCTGGAACTCCTTACTCTACGCTCCTCTATCCACTCTCTCAATACTAGGTCTCAACCTATAGACTTATATATTCTCTCTCATAAAACTTCCTCCTTCAGCAAATCCTTCGTCATTCGTGCTGCTTCCTTATGGAACTCACTTCCTACCCCTATGCGTCAATCCTCATCCATAAATTCCTTCAAACTACTCCTGTTCCAACACCTACTCCACATTCAAACTTCCCCTAACATGTAAAATTACTTGCATCTATACAATGTTTAATTTCAATCCATTGCACAATTGAAATATCAATTAACAATAAATTAGTTGGTATTTTTATTATGTCAGACTAAGATACATAAATTTGTAACTCTGTTATTATTCTTAGGGGACAGTAGTCCCAGAATAAAATTATTTTTTCATTTCATTTCATTTCAATCCCTCTGGAAGCTTCTACACGACAATGGTTGCTTCAATAGAAGGCAAAAGACCCAGATGGAAGTCCAAAAAGCTGATGAATAGATCTAAACAACAAAGATCCAATAGAGTTATAGTCCGTGGTACAGACCCCTTTCTATGAAATGATTAAAATCCGGCTGAAACTTCGTAAATAGATTCATCACATTGTAACCTACAAATATTTTATTAAAGAAAATTCTTGGAATTGGGGCGTTTTCAATCTGGAGGTCGGCAAACTTTTTCTATTTAATTACGTAATAAAAACTCGTAAGTACCCACTTGCATTCCACTTTAATCGTAAGATAACTTGAGCACAAAGTCGAGAAAAAAGGTGACCTTCAAAAATATTGAGCCGTTGGGCCTATATAACCTCTTTATTTTGACAATTTGGGGGTGTAGTTCACGCTAAACGGCTCAATATTTTTGAATGTCACCTTTTTTCTCGACATTGTACTCAAGTTATCTTACGATTAACTTGGAAAGCAAATGGAAATTTACGTGTTTTTAGTACCTAATTAAATACACAAACTTTGCAGACCTCCATTCTGAAAACGACCCAATACCGAGAATTTTCTGAAATAAAATATTTGTAGGTTACGATGAGATGAAACTATTTACGCAGTTTCAGCCGGATGTTAATAATTTGATAAAAAGGGGTCTGGACCACGGACTATTAATATAACGCTGTAAACTTTTGTTGTTAAAGTTTATTAATTTATTTATTATTATTAAAAATTAAAAATAATTTCTACTTAAGGTAGGTTGGTGGGTAAAAGCTGTGTGCTGTACCAACATATAAATATCTTTAAAATAAGTCAAGTTAAAATGTATTTAAATTGAAAGCTACTTTCCATATGATATTATCTTATTTTAACTATCGCATTTTTTTGGGTTAGATAAATTTATTGTATTATATATTATGCATATATTATATCTTATTGCATGCAAATAACTTGAAAGAAATAGTCCAAGCTAGGCAGAGATGTAGTAAGCTCGTTAAGTCGGCAAAAGATCTACAAGCTCTGTAATACCAACAGGAAAAATAAAGCAGAACAAAAATGAATATTTTCCAACTTGAAAATAGCAGAAACGTTGTATTTTAAAAGACGTTGTCCTTAAATTTGCTATCGGATGACACTATAAATAGGAATAATGGATAGATAAAAAAATCAATTATTTAACAATTTATTAAAAAATCTTTTTATTATTATTCAATATTAAAATAATATATATTATTTTTTTATGTTACAGGTATTTGTTTTCTTTTCACCTGAGCACAGTAGAACTCTTCAGATTTGTAAGCTTTATTTTATATGTTAACAATATTTCTATAATTATTTATACAGTTTTGGTCTAGCTATTATTATTATAAATAAATGCTTACACTGCACGTTACAGCAACATAGTTAAAACAGCTTTCTCTCACAGCCGCAATAATTTATTTAAATATTTCCTGAAATAAAATTTATAGAAATTTGATTATAATGATTAAGGCTAAGCAGTCTTATCATACGATTGTCTTAGGTTTTTCATCAGTTGTCAATGATATTACTGAGACATTGTCAACGATCGCCGTTCTGTCTTCTACGATCTTTTTAACAGCGATGATTTTAAGGTAAACATAGTAGATACCTACGAAGCTGATGACTGCCGTCGAGTAGTAGAACATACCCTCCAAGAGAGTCCCAGCTGTGACGTAGGAAGATGCGTAGATGAGCAGGACACCACCGAAGATACACTTGAAGCCGATGACCAGCGCCCAAGGCAGCATGAGGCGAGTGTTGAGCTTGTAGATACCCATCATGAAAACAACGTAGGTGCCGATGGAGAGGAATGTCAAGCAGTAGAAGGCCATTATCACCGGTCTTCGGAGTCCATCCGAAGGTATGGGCAACTCTTCGTTACCGAAGGACTCCTGGATGACCTTGTAGAAGAAGTTACCGAAGAGGTAGAGCGATATATAGAAGACAATCCAGAGGACTACGGTGAGGTAGACCGTCAGGCACTTGAGTTCTCTCATGGCGAATAGTTCGCAGTCGACTGACCTCCAGTTGCGGTGGGGAATGCCCGGCAGTTCTGCCAACTCTGGGATGAGGAAAACTGGAGACAGAAAGGGAGGGAGAGAGGGAATGAAATATCCCTGTTTTACCACTGTTCTAATATTCTTATGTCCAGGAAACATAATAAATAAATATTAAACACCCTCTCTGCATAATAAAAAAAAACTACAGAGTGTGCTTAAAACCCCGCAATAGAAGTGAAAACATCAACAAAGCGGAATTAATATTATGAAATTTTATTTCTTATTTTTACAGCTAATTGTATATATATATATATATATATATATATATATATATATATATATATATATATATATATATATATATTTCAAAGACTTGGACTACAGGGTGTCTCAGTTCTTAATGAACAAATTCTGAGGGGCGATTCTAGACAAAATTTCCAACAAAAAAGTTCATTTGATACCCGTATATGTAATATGAAGTAAGTGTAAGTATTGCGATCGTAAAAATTTTTGAATCTGAGTTTTTAACGAAAATAGACGTTTTGAGGTCCCGTGAGTCCAAATAACCAAGTCCCGAAAAATGGTCTGTGTGTATGTCAACGCTCTATCTCGAAACCGAAAAGTAGTACGAAACTGATGTTACAAATTTATGATAGATATATGCCTTAGATGTGACAGCAACTTTTTCCTTAAAATCGGCTAACCGGAAGTGCCACTTTATATCAACCCCGAAACAAATATTTACAGTTTTCTCAAAAATGGCTCTAATCATTTTGATTAAACTAAATTTATCATTGTATAATTAAGTGATCTTTAATATCATTTAGGTCTTATCCCCATTGATGTCACTTTACAGGGCTTAAACGCCCAATGTTCATATGCTTCTTTCCCTAAACTATCTGTCATTATTAAAAGTTCCGAAAAAATGCTATATATAACTTTTGAAAGAATTTGATAATTGAATAAAGGAGAACAAATAAAGATGCTCACAGATCGAAAATGAATCTTTGGAAATACAAATCAGAAGGTATACGTATAATATACCGTTGGAAAGTGGAAGGTTTTAGAAAGAACAATACCTAATATAGAAAGTTGTAGAAGGTAACGGGGACTGGCGAAAACATTATGAATAATAATTTTAGAAATTGATAATATTTAACGTAAATCACATCTGAATGAAATGAAATTTACTAACTAAATGTTAACTTAAAAATATTTGTACGTTTGAGAAAGTATTTAAAATCCACCTAATCAAAGCAATGGCCTTGTTAAAACTATTTCATTGTACCTGTGTGAAAGAAGAAGTAAAATATAAAATCATTTCATGGATGTATAAAGCATATGTTTATAACCTTAAATACATTTACTGTAGTTTAGTGATTATAGGTCTGATATTATATTTAAATAATTAGGTATCAACGTTTATTCCGAAAAATTGGGGAAAAAAAGCAATTAAAGCCCGGAGATTCAAGGCAATGACATTGTTTAAGATACTATTTCATTGTACTTGTGTGAAAGAAGACGTTAAATATAAAAATATTTCATGGATACGTTTATAACCTTAAATATATTTACTGTACTTTAATAATTCTAGTTCTGACATTATATTTAAATAATTAGGTATCTATCGTCCGTTTATTCCGAAAAATCATTATGTAACCTTTTAGAAAATCAAATTAGTAAATAATTTGATATATTTTCTCTTTGCGATATTCCAACAGAGTCCACTTAATTCCAACCATTCTCTTTAATTATTCACTAAAGTCAACCATCAATCCACAAAATGGTCTAGCCGAACCCTTCATTTGACCAGCCCTGATGAAGGCCTAAACTTTGGGCAGAAAATAAAAATAAATTTTCTTATTTATTTTTGCATTTTTATTTAATTTTTTTACTGATCACCCCAACCATTCTTCTATTCTATTGAAATAATAGTTCGTAAGAAGATACTGAAATAATCTGCTAAAATAAGGATAAGGATAGGTAAAAAAGAAAATTTAATTAAAAACAAATGGGTATGTAAAATTAAAATATATTTAGTACTTCCTATACTCGTGTCTAACTGTGAATAAATTATCATTCATTAAATAGGAGGAAAACTAACAAATGAATCATCTTGTAAAAAAGCGATCGTTGTAGATATATCAATTACCTCCCTTGTCTATGTCCATTAAATAAATTTTAATTATTTCGAGATCTGAAATAGTTAAATAATCGATTTATTATTTCTTCCTAAACAATTATAATTTGCTTCTGTCTATTTTTTTCTCTCACATTTCATTACATTATTAACGTTTCGAGAAATATTTTTTCATCATCAGTGCTATATTCATTCTTATCAGAATTCTCTCTTACAATTCAAGGATTTAATTTAAATAGATCTTTTTTATATTATTTTAAAGTTCAATCCATTTTAAATCATACAATTTGAATTGATTTTGTTGCTCGATATTTTTTTATTTTCATAAATGTTTTACCAGTTATTCCATATTTATTTGAGATTTCAAAACCGTATTTAAAAAAATTGTAAGCTGATTGTTTTTTCTTGATGGCCATTTTGAATTTACTTTTCGGTTGAAAACATGTTTTGGAAAAAGGTCTGTAACTCTGGTAATTATATATATATATATATATATATATATATATATATATATATATATATATATATATATATATATATCAAACCAAAATAAAAACTAGAATAATATTGAGTATTTTTTCTAAATTCTCGTTCATTAATATATCAGATAAAAAAAAAGGAAAGTGGTTCAAAATAATCATGAAAATTGACATAAAACGAAACTGTTAGATCTTTAAAATTGTGTTAATGAAAAGAGACTCACTTTTTACCTTTTTTTTTTTTTGTTCTATTACTTTACACACTATCAGTGTACTACATATTGATTAAATTTCAATCTTGTAAACCTTGCCCTTTTTTTGATTTTCAAAAAAGCCCTTGACAGGTATTTTCAAAAAGGGCTGAGTGAAATATTATAAAATTGATTCAGTTGATACCTCTTTATGGTAGGAACGTGTGATAAGAATTCGATCAATGAGATTAACCTAGTTCTATTGGCTATAGTGTAACAAACAGCTGTTTATTGAGAGTCGATATCAGTATATCTACTCTAACTCACAATCAGAAATTTTTCCGGCTATCAAATAAATATGAAATAACTGGTAAAAAAATTAAAAGTATCTTACAACCTGATCTGGATGATTAGTTAAATGTTTTTGTTAATTTTTACAGTTATTTATATTCAGGGAAGAGCTTATTCAGAGGCAATATTTATCTTTATTAAAATCGCTGGCATTTAAGAGAAATAGTATAGTACTTTGTTCTATAGATGTTTGGCTGTTAATTATAATAATATTATTGTGTTTTTATTCAGCTTATTATATCAAAGCAGTATGTGCCCAGGTTTTTTCTGTTTTGGATTTTACTGTTTAGTGATCTACAACAGGCGGTATTTGTCAGGGACTTCCAAGACCAAGACCGATTTTTGGCAACACTACATTTTCACTGCTCAGTGATAGACAAATACCGCCTGACTGTTGCAAGACCAAGACCGGTAAAATGAAATTGATTTTTTGAATAATAATTAAGGCAAAATAGTTATTATACTTGACAATTTTGGTTACTATATGTAAAGAATTGAATGATTGAATGTTTTTTTTTATAAAATACTCTTAAAAAGTTAGGTATAGACAAAACTATTTAAATAAAAACTAACTAAATATTAAATTAAATTAGAAATAAAATTCGACTCAGAACACTTTGTAGGATGTTTTACAATACAAAATAATATTTTCAATACAATAATGATTTTTTCAGTTATTTTTTTTTATGAAAAGTAGATAGTTTTTGGTCACCTAATTAGCATAAAAATAATATTAACATTTTTTTTTTGTATTATCTTAATCAAGACAGTTCTTAAATAGTTAGTCTCGAATCACAGTGTTATATAAATCAGTTTATTTGTCTAAATAATAATAAATATAGAAAATAAAATCTAATGTTTGCTTCTTTACACTTAACCTAGACAATGCTACCTTGGTGACATATGTTATGTTGTAATGTTTACACGGTTGCAGCTGAGGTCATTATTGATACCATGGAAACACGGTTTTATATTTTTAAAACAACAAATTCAACTTTTAATTTAAAAAATCCTCATTAAAACAGTTATTTTCTTAACTGGGTTATCTGCCATTTATTTATAAACCTTATTAATATTAATAATGAATAACATCGTCTTATCATTACTTGGAATTAATTAGATAAAGGTGAAATAAAATGCATATTAATGTATTTATTTATAAAATTTATTGGTTTGACTGATGGTTATAACAAATAATAACATAATTTTTATCAAGAATCAGAATTAATGATATAAAAAATAATTCTAATCCTAATAGGAAATGTATGTTAATAAAAAAAAAAGAAGATATATCATCAATTTATTTATACACAGTTTATTAAAACTATTCTTAAAATAAATTACAATAATATAAGGATATTATAAATAAAGGATAGTTATTAAGTTAACAAATACTAATTAAACAAAATAAAAATATTAATAACAAAAGTTCAGATCACAGATATTTTTCATATTGTAGTTCAATTTTTTTTTTACATTAACATTAAAAAATATATAAATATTATATTTACTAGCATATATTTATACTTATCGACATTTAATTTAAAATCAATTTGCTTATATAATAATATTGTTTTAGCGAATTTAAATTTTTTTAATACACATGAATATTTATAGAGGAAAAAATACAAAATAGTTTTAAGTAATTTCAGTCTCTACAGAGAGCTATTTAATCATTCGTTAATTTAATAAATAAAAAAAAATCTCAAATAATTCACGGCAAAATCAAACATAAATATATGTATAATTTTCTCAATTTGATTCATCAACTGACAGTTGTATACGTCAATTTTAATTAAGGAAAATCCCTAAACTCATTAATTAGTAAGGAAATAAACCTTATTTTGGTTTCAGGTCGTTTTTTATTGCTGTTACACCTAAAATTGTAGTGCTTCAAATAAAGATGTCTTAATTTTAAGATAAAATTATAAATTGTTTATTTTAATTTTAATTTTTAATATATATAAAGTTATCTACAGCGTAACAGTAAGAAATAACTATAAAAGCGATTTGTTATTTTCTTAGATAAGGGAACTTGAATTAAGAAAAGTGGGATTGACTTCTGATATTTTACCATTTGAGTTTTAAATACAAATATTTAATTTATTTATTTATCTAATGTTAAATTGTATTCTATTTATTTTTTTAGTTTAAATTTAGAATAATAAAATAGTAGCCATGTAGTTTGTGGTACAGACCTTTTATTATCAAATTATTAACATCCGCCTAAAACTTCGTGAATAGCTTGAGCTTATTGTCACTTATTTTTATCGAAGGAAATTCTTAGAAACATGGTCATTTATTTAATTAGGTAATAAGCACTCATGGATATTACATTTGTTGAGTGTGTATTACCTATTTAAATAGACAAATTTTGCCGAGCTTAAGATTAAAAAAGCCCCCAATTCCGAAAATTTTCGTAAATAAAATAGTTACAGGTTATAATTAGATAAAGATATTCACGAATTTTTAGGCGGATGTTAATAATTTGATAAAAAGGGGTCTGTACCACGGACTATTATACATGATAGGAAATAATTTAAAAAACTAAAATTCTAACTTTTTCTTGGTCCACAAGCATTTTCATGTTAGCTTCATGTACACGTTTTAGTTTAACAAAACAGAATGTGATACCTATGAAGCTGTAGGCTACCAGGGCGTATAAACTAAGGCATTCGATGAGTGTCGCATTAGATGTCTGGAAGACCAAGTACCAAAGCACAACTCCACCTGCTAAAGTCTGGAACCCGGTGACCAAAGACCAAGGAAGTACCATCCAAGTCTTGAGCTTGTGTATGCCGACCATCAGGACGGGGAACGTGACGAGTGACATGCAGCTCAATGTCACGCCGGTCGTGATTATCGTCGAGATGCATTCCTCGGCCACCGCAGGATGTTGGTCCTTCAAGGATTCGACCAGGACATCCCTCAAGAGACTGGTGAAGAGGAAGGACGCCAGGACTGCCAGGAATCCGAGCAGTCCCAGGATGAAAATATTCCTCGTGCAGAACTTGTTGGCGGCCATCGTTCGACTGGCAAACGATAGCTGCGTCAGTTCCTTCGGGGAATTCCCTCTATGCGAGCAGTCCTGCCAACCAACGAGGAAAAGTGAACACCTTCCAGGCAAAATATCCCTTTCATTCTTGGAACCGTTGTGCAACCATTGATTTAAAAATGTTTTAAATTCATATGAAGTGTTGACAGATTTCTAATGTAGTGTGTAATACATACCACATACCCTTTTTATCAGATTATTAACATCCGCCCAAAACTTCATGAATAGCTTCATCTCATAGTAACCTGTAAGTGTTTTATTTACTAAAATTCTCGGGATTGGGCCGTTTTCAATCTGGAGATTAACAATCTTTGTTTATTTAATTAAGTAATAAAAAAACAATCAACACAGTATTTTATCTCAAAATCGAAAATAATAATGTGGCCTACTAAAATATTGAGCCGTTTGGCTTGACCTCCACCCCCAACATGTCAAAAGAAACATGTTATAGGCGAAACTGCTCTCTATTTTTGTAGGTCACCTTTTCTTCGATTTTGCGATCAAATTATCTTACGATTTAAGTAGAAAGCAAATGGCTATTTATGAGTGTTTAGTGCCTAATTGAAATAATTTATTTAATGATATATTTATTTCTGAAAATTTTTGTAGATATAAAAATTTTAGGTTACGATAAATGAAATCATTCAAGAAATTTCTAGTGGCTGTTAATAGTTTGATAAAAAGTGTACCTCGGACTTATAATTTTGTATTATACATATTTTGTGTTATAAAAGTACGCTTTTAAAAAAAAATAATAACGCTGATGTTTTTGGTGTTCTTTTAATATGTGTGGATCCCAACTTTCAAGCCTTTTTATCTTTCTTTTTGCTTAGGTTAATTTTCCGTACATCTTCTTGAACAGTTGTTCTGAGCTCCCACGAAAGCCCGCAGAACATAGTCATCAAGGGAGAAAGTCGTTCAACGACCTCCTTTGTCTTCAAGGCTGAAGTATTCCTTCCGTTATTTTTTTAACCACCGTTGAAATGTTGCTGGCTGTCTGGGCCACAATCTGGCCGAGTTTAAAATTATACAAAAATCACACGTTGACATCTTAGAAAAGACTGGATTATTTCTAAGCAGCGAAATGCTACAGAGGTAAACGTTATCGTTATCGGTATTAATAAGTGTTGACATTCATACAAATGAATAATCCGATAAACGTAAACATTTTGTAATAGCGAAGTACTTTATTATTTTCCGGACACCTCAATATATTATAGTTAGGTACTAAAATCCGGTATATAAGACTAAAGGGAGACCTGTTTAGTGATGTTAGTTAACACTTCGTAAACTGAGATCCAGTCAACTGTAAGAGGCCCTCGACTTAAATATTGAGGAATTTTCTTACAAATTGTAACTCCTAAACTTAGGTATAATTTAAATATTTATATATAAATAGATATTATTATTTTTTCAGAGTAGGACTATTTTATTTTTAAAAAAAAAGGAAATACCCCAGTAACAGAAAATAATTATATCATAACTAATTTAACACAAAGAAAAAATATTAGGAGAAAAATTTACATAAGTATATAAGAAAACCTTTATATATTACTTATTTTAAAAAATTAATATATTTTTAAGCCAGTTACTAAATTTATGAAGAAGAAGGGATCAAATCTAGCAAACAATGATTCTTCGGATTACAAAAAAAAATAATACTATTATAAAACGTTAGGAGAATGGAGACTAAGTGATAAAAAACTAAACTAAGGAGTCATTAAGTTAGCAATTAGCAATTTGTTTTTAAAATTATAGAATGGCCTTATGAATATTTAAAAAAATATTTTTGGTAATTTCCGGAATCTTTAGGTTTAGATATTTTAAGAATTAGATAAAAGCTTAAAGATAATTTAAGCCACTTAAACAGGATTGAATTAAATTTGTTTATTTTTTTATTTCATATCGTTAAAATACTGTATGAGATAACAATGTTTACATCGTCGGTTTATTACAAAAGGTCATTAGGTGACATTTCATAACCTTAAAAAAATAAGTAGTTTTATTACTTTTCCCTTGTGAAATCAGAACATTGTAAATTTGTTGTAACTGTATTCAAAAAATAAAAGGCTATGTGTCAGTTTAATGAGGTGTTTTTTATGTTTAAAAAAGTTCGAAATTTACAAAACTTATTTGAAAAAAAGTTCAACTCCATTACAAATGTACTTATTTACAATAAACCAATTACATTCTTATGGTTACATTACGCCATTACATATATTAAAATAGTGATTTATTTGGTAAGTACAAACCGTTCTATAAAAGTGATAAAGGACTCATAAGATCCGGGTTCGAGTTTGGCTTTGAAAGATAATTATTTATTCTGTCATATCGGCCGTGGGCCTGGACTTCCAGCCTTTATATAGTGGGCACCCTTGAGTAAATGATTAATTAAAGGAGAAAAACCTGGCAATTGACGGTGATATCGTTCCAATCACCTCCATGGTACAACCTTTGACGAAGAAACAGTACTTCATTACAAAGCACTGGATCTAACACCCTCAAAGGGTTGTATTGGTATGTTTTAACGTAAAAAAAAAATTAAATCATACCAAGTAAAATATATAAAACATGATATAATATATGGGCACAACAATAACGAAATGTATAAAAAAAACCCGCAAATTATTACACTATGGTTTATTATTTTCAAACATTTATACATCAAAAGTAACACTACCTTCTTTGTAGCATAAGAAAAAAAAAATAAATAAGAAGTTATTCCTAATATTTCCCTAAATAATATTTTATTTCATCATTAGTAATTTTATAAAAAAAAAAAAAACATTGCTTCAGTTGATATACCACTTTCAAAAAATTAAAAACCAAAACCAATAAAATAAGATTTGCAGTAGAACAGAATGTTTATAAAAAAAAAATTTTACCAAATTGTCCGATTTCAACATTGTTTTTTTTTATATCTTAGGGAATTTCTAAAATAATTTAAATGACCATATAATGACTACACGACATATACAAAAAAGTGTATATTTTTTTAGTTATTCGGAAATATAATTTTAAGACACCTCGTAACTTTATTCCAGCTTCTTTTCGTTGAATTATGTTCTCTAAATTTTGTTTTTATTCGATTTTCGCGTTATACATATTGTGAAACGCAAACCTTCAAATTTTGAGGGGAGAGGTTAAGTTTTTAAATTTTTGGATCAATTGCAATGGTCATCATTGAAAATTATAAACCAAAGTGAATTTATAATATCTTAATTTCCGTGGAAGATTTTTTTAATGCTTGTTCAATAACTTTTAAAGTGATTGCATGATAGTAAATAAACAGGATCATGCTGAATTTATGTATTTTTTTTAATGGTTCGAATTATCGAATTATGTGTAATATGTTGAGAATAGTATATGGGAGATATATAACATTAAAAAAATAAACGAAGAATCATAGAGTATGATCTCATCGTGGCTTGGACTGAGTAAAGACCAATCATGTCGAGCCATCTTATTTTCCTTATTCGAATACGCTTCGTGGCCATTGTCCGTCTGTCGTAATGCCTTGCTGTTTTCCTCATAGCAACATCTTGCAATGACATTGCAGTTTAAATAGTGTTTATCATGTTTAATAAGAAAAAAATATAGAGCGTGGAACACAGTGGGAAGAATATACTAAAACTCGCGACATTGAACAAAATTCGGAATTTCTATCTTGACTTTAAAATTGGTACATTTTTATGTATTGAAATAGAAATAGAAAATAACTTTATTCTGGGACAAAGTTCCTTTAGAATAACAAAGTAGTACATACTTAAAAGACCACATCTGGCCAAAAAAAAACAATAATAAAAAAAGAGAAAGTAAAGAAAATATTAGTTAAACAAGCTATATACAAAAAAAAATCTATATACAAAACACTTAAAACTATGATAAGACACTTAAGACTATGTAAAGTAGGAAAAATTATAATTATACACTTTTGAAAAATAAAATAATAAAAAATACATTGAGTTCGTCTTTAAAATAAGCTGTTGACAAATCTGACAATGTAAAATGTCAAAGGTTGTACCATGGAGGTGATTGGAACGATATCACCGTCAATTGCCAGGTTTTTCTCCTTTAATTAATCATTTACTCAAGGGTGCCCACTATATAAAGGCTGGAAGTCCAAGTCCCACGGCCGATGAGACAGAATAAATAATTATCTATCAAAGCCAAACTCGAACCCGAGATCTGGATCTTATGAGCTCTTTATCACTATTAAATAGAATTGTTTGAACTTACCAAATAAATCACTATTTTAATATATGTAATGGCGTAATGTAACCTTAAGAATGTTGAACTTTTTTTCAAATAAGTTTTGTAAATTTCGAACTTTTTTAAACATAAAAAACACCTCATTAAACTGACACATAGCCTTTTATTTTTTGAATACAGTTACAACAAATTTACAATTTTCTGATTTCACAAGGGAAAATTAATAAAACTACTTAAGTTTTTAAGGTTATGAAATGTCACCTAATGACCTTTTGTAATAAACCGACGATGTAAACATTGTTATCTCACGCAGTATTTTAACGATATGAAATAAAAAAATTAAACCAATTTAATTCAATCCTGTTTTAGTGGCTTAAATTATCTTTAAGCTTTTATCTAATTCTTAAAATATCTAAACCTAAAGATTCCGGAAATTACCAAAAATATTTTTTTTAAATATTCATAAGGCCATTCTATAATTTTAAAAACAAATTGCTAATTGCTAACTTAATGACTCCTTAGTTATATTGCAAGAGCCACTCTAACTCAGTGTAGTGGTGAGAGACATGGTAGTATCTCGGGGCACCAATTACAAATCTCACGCAACAAATACATATACAGTTTTCATAAATTACATCGTTGGCATTATTTAATATTTAATTCTAATCTATTACAGCGATATAAAAATCAAAATTTTTGTATATAGGAGTACATAAACAAATAAAAATACACACAATGAAATATAAATAAATATAGTG